CATTTTGGGTTTATTCTACATAACAGAAAGAAGAAAGGTGTAGTCATCCTACGAGAAATGAATACTACATGAGCAGGTTTTAAGGAATAGGAACTGGCCTTGGGTTTTCTGTAGATAGTTTCTTCACTTGGAATATGATTTTTCTTTAGAAAAAGTGTGACTCTGTTTTTCATATAATACTTACTGGTCACGCAAACTGTATTTACCCTGAGCTCTGCAGCCGTTAGCATCTTCGCCAGTACAGGATAGAAGATGCTGTCTGGGAAAAGATGCATTTAACCACCTCCGTTCTCCAAATATATCACAGACTAAAAGCTAATTCTGCTCAAAAACACGACAGCTTTGAAGGAGGGACGAGCGAAACCATTCATGGTATGCCGCATGTTCTGTCTTGCAGACTTTTAGTAAAATCTCTTACACTGCCATGCACTTTTATTTTTCATCTTACGAAATACGTGTTCTGTGGGGAACAGTTTTAGAGCAATTTGCTGTCATTTGATCTTTCAGGTGACACATGCCTAAATTTGGGTTCGTGGTGTTATTAATTAGCTGGGTTATGCAAATTCTGTACTGATGCCTCTGAAAGTCATAGATACCGAACCTTGATTTTTGCCTTTCAGTCTGAAGTTGTGAAAAAAGAAGTGAAGAAAGAGGAACCAAGCAAAGGAAGGTATGCTTTTCAAGTATATAAGGGATTTTTATGTATTTATACTGTTCATGAAATGTGTTTCCAAGATTAAGGAGGTTGCTGAGCCATCTGTCTAACTAAGCTTGATGAAAAGGCCTGCTGTGAGATCCATCAACTGTTACCTGCTGTTACTTCTTTCAAGCATTTGTGTGTTCTGTGTGTGCAGGACGTGTACTGTACTGCTGTAAAGTTTGTGAATTCTTTGAAATGTGGGGCTTTCAAAGAACATGGACAAATGGGATGAATCTTGTTTTCTGTGTAGTTCGTTGAGTTGTTATTGTTTTACTAACTATGGCCAGGATTTTACCACAGGTCCTGGAAAGTGTGTTTGGAAATACGTGTTGGTAAGACAATTTTTTTGTTGTATTTAACCGGGAAGTCATTGCTTTATTTTGTCCTACGGTGCTTTCCTCTGTCAGAGCACCTGGCTCTATTGTTTCTGTTTCCAAATGCTAAAAATAAACTGAAACTTTCTTGTTTAACTAATTAACATTAACTTTGTGCTGTGATACAGGTCCCTGAATTGATTTAAAAATGTTTAGATACTTATTAACATCAGAACCTAGAAATGGGAAATGGTGGTTTTCGTATGTTCCATTTAAATTTGTTTTACAGACATTGCTTGTAGCAAAATTACTAATTGTGGAGTAACTATTTGTTGGTTTTAGTCTTGATTGTGTTTTTAATAAATGGATAGATCATTATGAGAGTTCTTGTTAACAAATATGACTTAAAACACCTTCTGTGACTCATCCATATTTCTTGATAAGTTTTATAATTAAAAAAAAACCAAACTGTGTAATAATGGTCCTAAACTTCAATTTCAAGTAATGCCATTATACTGTAGTTTATCTTTTAACTATATGTTACTATATTTTCAAAAAGTGTTTCTTTCAAGAGTAAAGCTAGATATTCCTAACTTCATGAAACTTCTGCTCAGGCCCTAGTCGATTTTGGAAGCATTTATTTTCTGAACTGTCTCTGACTCACAGGTAGGCAGACGTGCAGGCAACCTTTTTGGTTCCAGACTGGTGGGCTTTAGCTAGCAGTGGTAATTAATCAAAACAAGTGACTCTTGCATCAGTCCCAGGTACTGCCCAGCATCCTGCTGTGGCTGGTGAACTGAGGGGAAAATGAATGTTTTCCCCTACAAATGACAGTACACACCACCTCCTTGTCTGAAGCAACTGTCTTCTTGTAAGCCTTTGTGACCTGACCAGTTATTCTTTTGAGTTACATTTTATGAGAAGCAGAAAATATCTTCAGTATTATTGTATATGGGAAGGCCTTGTCACGTGTTTCTGGGGAGGGAAGAAGTAGTAGAATTTGGGGAGCAGAAGGGGCTGCCCTCTTGGTTGACTGGGATTATGAGGTGATCTTGAAAAAACTTTGAAAGACTTCTGGAAGCTCAGTTGTTGTCCATCCGAGTAGGTAGTTCATCTGACCTTGCGGCTGAGGTGACCAACATGTTCACCTGAACAATTCTGCTCTTTTCAAGGATGCTGATGCATTTTGTTGGGATTTGTTTTCCTCAGCTAAACCAGCTGAAACTTTTCTTGGCCAGGTTGAGACTCAAGGACCATCCCACTGCTCCTGTTAATCCTGAGCTGATGTGTAGGAAGTAGGTTGTGCCTCCGTTGTGACACAGGCTCTGTGCTGGCATTTCCAGGACTGAACTCTCCCAGCCTTTCCCTGGCTAACTCAGGCAGTAGTGGCTGCGTGTGGCAGTTATGCAGACACATACTGTGCAGAAACCGAGCCCCAGGTATTGTCGGTTTTGCCCTCTACACTAACTTCTGTGCAGGCAATCAGTCTTGCAGGTCCACGTGCTGTTTCTTTCCCAGTGCCTAACAGGTCTTTTAAGCATTACTTGGAGCACCTTCATGCTTCATCAGGCTAGCTCATGGTTATCTCTGCGCATCACTGCCTCTGCAGAGCTCTCCTTCCACTGCTTCACAGTCCAGTTTGAATCTATTACTGTATTGTGAAGAGCAGCAGGGTTTTGTCGAAGGCACAGAGTGAGTGTTGGCATGAAAGGAGACATAAAGCCCCGAGGATTCAGAGACTAATACCTCATCTGAATTGTGTAGAGGATAATACTCATGTATGCTACTCACTGTACGCTGTGTAGTTAGCATATGGTTCCAGCGTTCACTGACACTTTTCCATTCTTCATGAAAACAAAATAAACGGAGGCTAAGTGGGGGGTACAGTTTAGCAAGGCACTAGAGTTTCTATTTAATTAAGCTTTCTACACACCAGTGACAAACCTGGGCTGCGTTTCTTGGCTTTGTGCTCTGAGTTATCCAGGTAGTATTTTGCTACGCAGACACATGAGACATGAATCTCACTGGGATGTAGAATGCTCAAGTAGAAGAGAAGATTAGCTGAAATGTTTTTTGCTGTTGGAACACAAACAATGTTTAATCGATGTCAAAATATCTTCTGTGTTGCGACTGAGTAAACCGCTACTGTGGCATAGAAAGCAGATCAGCCCTGACTGCTTAAATACTCATGAGGCACATGTACACCAAAACATTTGCAAATAACAAGTTTAAGTTGCTTACAGGTCTCAGAAGCCTGTTAGAGATGAGCGTGATGTTTGAGTGAGTGAGGCTGCTTTGCCTTCACAAGGCTTTGGTTACTGTGAGTTGAGCCGCTTGGGCTTTGAAGGAGATTCCCGGCATTTTTCTGGAGCACACAGGCTCTGTGGCTTCTGGGAGGGCTGCCTGCCAGCCGCACAGTGCTGCAGGGCTGCTGCTCTGCTTGGGGAGCAGTGTCCTCGTAGTGTGCCGCAAGCGTCCATCTGATGCGTGGTCATGACCTAATACATCTATGCCAATTTTAAATTGGTGTTGTGAAAGAGCTTTTGAAGCAGAACTCGTATCCCTTCTTCTCTCTCCTCTCGCGTTTTGTAGCAGCAGAGGACAGTGCCCTTGGGTCCAGAGGAGACCTTCAAGATCAGTGTTTTTATTGTGCTTGCATAGCACAGATGTTAACTGAGTTTGCCTGTTTTCATCTTTCTGTTGGCTCCATGCATTGTGTCTTCGTCTATTAACCTTTGCATCTGGCCACTTCGAGACTTAGCATTTCCTCCAGTGCTGAGTTCCATTTGATCTGGCCTTCCATTTTCTTGCTCACATCATGCTAGGAGTACCACCGAACTGCCAGACTTCTCTTATTTTTTCTCATGCAGGTTTACAGAAACATGCACCCTTTATTCGTGTACGTAGGTTCTGAGAAACCATAGTGCGGGCAGCTCCATTGTGCGTAACCACTGATTAATTACGTGTGTTTGCTGCTTTTGGGTTTGTCTCGACACTTAGCGAGATTGTCAGCATCAGTCTTTCGGCACCTTTCCATCTGGAGATGCCTGAGATGATGTGATGCTGGTTTTCTCGAGTTCTGTGGGAAAGGGGCACAGATATCTCTAACTTCAGTGTCTGTCAGGATCATCTGTGGAGGATTCTTTCCTTCAGAGAAGAATAATGAGCTTGCTGTAACTCATGTTCTCTGAAAAGTGCTGTCTTCTGCATTGCCATCTCGGGCTTTATTACACTGGGAGCTGACAGGGGGATTATACAGTGAAAATAGAGCCTGGCCAAAAGGAGCCTCTGTGCACGTGTTGTGTTCCCTGCTATTGTGTGAGGTCGATGCTGTTTAAAAACAAAGTGACTCCTCCCTCCCCTCAAACCTGAACCAAAACCAACCAAACAAACTTCAGGCTCCTGGCTACTGGAATCGTTCTCTAGGTTGGTGACTGCAGAGTCTGCAGTCTTCAAACATAAAACTATGGTAATTCCTTTGTACAGGGAGACTGAAGCTTTGTTTTCGCTGTATATATGCTTTCACAGTCTGCCTTGCATCAGGGGACCTAAATTTTAGGTGTTCTTGCCAGCGCTGAGATCACAGGACACATCTGAGTGAGTGTTACCTTGAGAGGTCTGACTACAAGTAATGTAATTCGAAGTGTAAGAGGCTTATGGTGCTGAGGTGAATTAAACAGAAGCATAAAACTAATCAGCGATTTGCCTCCATGTTTTTAACCATTTTAACACTGGTAGGCTAGATTTCCGAATGCTAAGCACTAATGCATCAGGAAATCCCCCACCATTGGCGTCAAGAGGTTACTGGTAACTGTAGAATTCTCAACATAGTTTGATTTCTTCTGTTTTTTTTAAATGCATTTAGCTCTGACTTGAAAAAATATCCAGAGGGATCAGGAGTGGTGCAAACAGCAGCTGCTAATCCTCCAGTAGAGCCTAGTGTGGCAAAGAAAGAACCCATTTCCATCTCTAATGTCAAAGACGAGATGTCAGCAGTACAGATAGAGCCCTCTGAGTCCCATCTTGAAAGAGCAGTAAGGGAGCCCGCTCCAGGACTGCCAGAAACGTCTGTGGAGAAAGCGAACGCTGGAGTCGAAGCTCCTGTGACATCTGTCAAATCTGCTGATACCGAATCATCTGAAGCAAAGTCAGAAGAGATGCTGCTGCCTCCTTCCAGTCTGGAGAAGGACAAGGTGGTTAAAGATAATACTGAACCGGAATTGTTTGAACCTGCTGTTGTACCTGCATCGGAGAAGGAAATTAAAGAGAAAGATGAAGAGTTGTCTGCTCGTGCCATTGAACCACCAGAAGAATCATCCGAGGTGGGCAAGGCTGAAGATGTGCCATCGCATGGTGCTGTGAAGCCGGCAGCGCAGGATGCTACAGGGACCGTCCCTGAAGCGGTGCCCCCTGACTCTGATGCAGCTTCAGTGGAGATGGTGTCATCTGTTGTCACACAACCAACCAACAAGTTGGATGCTCCTGACAAAAATACTGTTTCTGATGCTGTAAAAACTGAACATGAAATGCCCGTAACTCGGACAACAGAGAAGAAACCTGCACTTAAAACTGAAGTGACCCTGGAGAAGAAACTGAATCTAGCTGGAGCAGATACAGAGCTGAAACCAGAAGAGTCTGTGCTCAAAGCTGGAAGAGCTGCGGAGAAGAGCCCTGAAAAGCTTTTGGTCAAGACTGGGGCAGAGACAGAGAAGAAACTTGAAAAATGTGTGGCCAAGGTTGGGGCTGCTGTGGAAAATGCTGCAAATGCTGTCGATGAGAGCAATGAGGGAAGTTTAATCAAAGCACATCAAAATAAAGGAATAGGACCAGCAAAAACTGATGAAACTCGCAAAGCAATTACATTAAACTCCTCTTTATCCATCAAGGAATCTTCCTCTGTCGGTAAAACTATTTTAAAGGCGGTGGTGTCTCTTGCGGATATATCAAAGTCAAGGGTTCCAGTATGGAGAAATGAGCCTTCCCTGTGTAAAGGAGGGGAGCAGAAAGCTCCTTCGAAACCCGAGACCCCAGGCCAAGCTGCGGTGGAGAACAAAATCGCATCGAAAGAAGAGGGTCAGCCGCAACTTGGTAGCAGCCAATCGAGCCCGGGAGACGGCAGTGGCAAATGTAAAGTGAGCAGAAGTTCTGTTGTTGATGGAAAGGGAGACAATGGGAGGAATTCATCTCAGCAAGAGAAGGACTCACGAGTGGAATCTAGGGCTAGTTCAAAACAGTCTCAAGAGGGAGAGAGTAGATCATCCAGCGTGAAGAAAGACAACAGCAGCAATAAGGTGAGGAGGGCAGGAAGGTCCGGTTCAGTATGCCTGATTGGTAACTAACTCCATGCTTCTCTCAGATGTTGAGTATGGGACGCTGAGATTATGTTCCCCTTCCCTTTTCCATAAATCACTCAGCTGGTGTGGGCCAACAGACGAGTTGGAATAGCGAGATGGCGGGCAACCAGTTGCTTTTAGATGCGGTGTGTGCAACGCAAGTATGTAACTGGTTTGAAAATGCTGCTTGGAAAGAATGGCAGGAAAATATTTTTGAAGTGAGTCTTTATTGAGTGTCATAATTTTATGTTCCTGGATTAGTTCTGAATGGGAATTGATAAGCTTTATGTCCTTTTGTGAGCTGATACTTGCTTTCTCAAGTCCTGCACAGACACTGGTTTCTGAAAAGAGGCTACTAAGCAAGATATGACCTGTGACTTGTTGCCAGAGACTCTATGCCTGGACTCTACTGCTGACCGTTGGCTTAGTTCTGTATTTGCCAAGTATGTGATCAGAAGCAGCCATCTGGACAACTTAAAAAAGTTCATTAAGGGAAAAAATAGCTGATTTTTTAATATTGTTTTTTTCTCTTGTGGGCAGGTTAGTTGGTTTAACTGATTTCATGTGAATTTTGTCTCATTTTGCAGGCTGCTGTTGGCGGCAATACTAAAACTTCAAAAAATGACACTAGCAACAGTGCAAAACAAAAGGAGGTAAGGATGTAACTATAAATGAACTTAAAGTCAGATTATCTTGAAAGCATGTGTGTATGTGCACTAATAATCTTTAGTGTCCTTCCCTGGGGATTTTTTTTTTTTACTACCAGTTGTTAACAGTCTACGAGCATAAAGCTGTAAAGGCAAGTAATTTGGAAGAGAAACTTAATTCAGGAAGTGAATGTTAAGAGGAGGTGTTTTTTGGTCTCGGATATCATTTGTTTGAGAAAGAGTTAATTCATTGGATCTCCACCTGCCTGTATGAGATCTTTATTCATCATCACACTTATGAGAAGAGGAAGGAAGGCTGAAGTCTTCTACCTCTTCACAAATTATTTTTTACGACAGGAGGTAGTCAGAACATCTCCATCCATGGCACCTCTTCCATGCAAAGATATCTCCAGCAAGTTCTGCAGAGCAAGGATTTCTGTACGGTTTTGGTGCAGTGTTGGTTTGAAGAAGAGCTTGGGAGCCTGTAGGCTCAGCTGCTAAAGAGTGTGTTTTTATTGGAAGGCGGAAAGAGATGCCCTCTCTCTTAGATACCTTGGGCTTTGGGAAAGAAAAGCAGAAGGAAGGTAATAAAAATCCGTATTGATGAGTTAGGAGAAGGTAGCGTTACAGGATCCAATCAAAGATCTACCAGGTAAGTAGTGGGTCCCTGTGGGAAAGGGATTTCTGAGATAAAGTTGGAGACCTAAATCCTTTTATTAATCAGAATCCACATAAACTTCTTGCATCATCAGTGTGTCTGTGAAGTTAACGGTAGGAATAGTAATAGAGAACACTTCCATATCTGATGTTCCAGATGTGTGTGTTAATCTCCAAGAGGAAATTCTGCACCCTTTGAAAAAAGACTTTGTAATGTCAATTACTTCTTCCTGCTTTACTCTTCTCTGTTAGGCAGCTGATAAGAATCAAGATCTGTGTTCTCCTTTTTGTGGAAAAAGGAATACAGTCATGTTTGATTTCAGTTAAAATGTAACCAGATACTTTCTTTTCCTTTGCTGTGCCCACCTTGCATTAAATATTCCTCAAGTTTCTGCATCAGAATGTGGGTGGAGGCACACATTATTCCTAGTATTTGTTAGCTTTTTAAAAAAGAAAGGGAAGAAAAGGCATGTAGCCTTTGAATTTCAGATTACTTTTTCTGCTGGAGGACTGTTCTTAGTATTTCTTAGCTGCAGTCTTACTCCCTAACAGAGGAAAGCTCATCTTGCCTTGGCGTTCTGCTTTGACAGGATTTTTTTCACTCTTAACTGTATTAGATACTGAACAGTATTTGATGATAGGATGGCATATTATGGGAGAAAAAAAAATTAAAATCGTTTATTGAAGAAATTGAGTGCACAATTTGAGGTGGAATGCATATTTGGATGCATTTTACTGCCCAAAATTAATTTGTACTTCAGGTACCCATCTTATTCACCTTATCCCACCATCCTGATTATAAAAGCATGGCTGTTCTACAGCTATCAAAGTACAGTACTCTGTTCCAAAAACATGACTGCTGTCTACTCAAATAACCTAAAAGTAATTTGGATTCACTCAGTCTTTTAACTGATTAACTGGATTCACCCAGTCTTTTAACTGGATTCAACATCTATCCATACATCCTTCTCCAGACGCTCTCAGCTACATATGACATTAAACTGCTGCTAATTCTTTCCGGTGGTCCTAGAATAAGTTGTGTGAGCCCTGATGGAAGCTGGCATGGTCAAACTGTGCAGGGACTGAGGAGTTTTAAATACAGGACATGCTCCAGTAAGAGCATGCCACTGACATGGGAGAATTGGAAAGTGGCAGACTCTGTCACCTTAAACATAAAAACACAGTAAGGTGTTTGCCAGAAAGCTGGAGCTTGTCCCCAGCCCCTGATGATAGGCGGCTGGCACAGGAGCAGCAAGTCTGCCAGGGCGTTTGTGGGGTTAGTCAGACCTTACCAGAAAGGAGAACATTATCACCTTGTACGTGTTGAAGAGAAATGAAGGGAGGTTCCAGTACTGAGAGCCCTTTCCTGGGCTGGAGCGTAGGGCCATCGGAGAACCTCTCTAAAACCAAGGTGATTGTGAGGAGACTGAAACCAAAGAAGCGAGAGAAAACAGTGAGTAATCATCAGGACACAGAATGACTTGGCTGGGTAGAAACTTCGAAGGTAGTCTCCTGTTTTGTAGCAGTGGCCAACAGCACATGGTTAAGCTTCAAAGAGAATGAGGTGTTGACACAAGATAATAGTATTTTTGAAGAGTACTCTGGAGATACTCACATTTCCACTAGTCTTCCTGCAAGTGAGTGCAGAATACACTGTGTGTTCAGGGCATCGGCCCAGTTCTCTTAATATACATAAACTTTGTCTATTCATCCACTGTGGCTTTTGAAAAACGCTTTTGGGTTTCTGGGTTCAATCTGCTTGCTTAACACAAGTGCTGATAATGAAAACTCTTCCATGTGAGACTGAAGGCCTGAAAATTTTTTTTCTACCCTCAAGTCAAATTGCATTTGTTTGGGTGTTTTCTCCCCTTGAGCCAGCTTCAGCGTGTAGACATTTTTCATTAGACACCCTGTGGATGGAGGTTTTGTGTTGCTGGGTGAATGTTAAACTTTGTTATAGCCACATTTTTACACTTCCTAGGAAGAAGAGCTGTTTCCATTTAACCTGGATGAATTTGTTACTGTGGATGAAGTCGTAGAGGAAGTCGAGTCTCCCATTAAAACGCGGCGAAATCCACCGAGGGGAAAGAGAAAAGATGGTGCTAAAACCAACTTGTCTTCTGAGCCTAGTTCCAAGAGGCGGAAAGGGAAGAGCTGCATAGCACGCACTGCTGAAAGCGAACTCTCTTTTGTCACTTTGGATGAGATTGGTGAGGAGGAGGATGTGACTGCACAGCTAATGGGAGTTGCCAATTTAGAAGCGCTTAGTGACCCCCAGGGCCTGGTTGTAGTGGATGAAGTGATGGAAGAGGAAGAACTTGTATCAGAAGCGGTAAAGAATCCACAGTCGCTGGTAACTTTGGATGAGATACCTGAACAGGAGGACCTTAGTTCTCAGAAAGATGTCCCTAGGTCAGTTTTTGAGGAGCAGGATTTGAAAGCCGAACCCTTGGTAACTGTAGATGAAATCGGTGAAGTAGAAGAACTGCCTCTGAACGAGCCTACAGACCTGAATATTGAGGATGTGCTGAAACAGAAGGAGGATGATAAAGTGACTGCTGAGGACACTGGAGACTGTGTTTCCTCCCAGGTGCCTGATGATCCCAGTGCTTTAGTGACAGTAGATGAAATACAAGAGGACAATGAAGATAACCCTCTAGTGACTTTGGATGAAGCTGATGAAGATGATTTTCTGGCCGACTTCAATTGTCTAAAAGAGGAACTAAACTTCGTTACAGTAGATGAAGTTGGAGAGGAGGATGAGGAAGAAGAAAATACTTTCCCAGGGAAAAATCTGAACGAGGATGAAGATGAAGATATTGTTGCTATTGCAGGACCAGAAGAAGAAGAAGAAATTACTGCCATTGCAGGACCAGAAGAAGAGGATATTGTTGCTGTTGCAGGACCAGAAGAAATGGAAATTCTAGGCAATATGAGTCCAGAAGAAGAAATTATTGCAATGTCGAAGGCAAAAGGTAAGGAACCTCCTGTAGCTTCGAGAGGGGAAAGAGAAAATAAGATGCTTGTAACCGGTGCACAGGGAATGCACAAAGAGATCTTTGTAGCAAATAGAAGAAACTGAAAAACCCCAAATCTCTGACAAAGTTAATGAAAGAGATGCCGGGGGGGGGAAAGTAGGAGACTGAGAGTGAACAGCAGCCTGAAGTTAGGGTATTTTATTAATGCATCTTGCAAGGCATCTTTCTTTTGATATAAAATTAATCAGCGCGTTGATTTGAAATGTTCCTTTGGTGTTTATGATGGCTAAAATTGGGGAAGATAGTGTAATTTCTCGCCTTTAATGCCAGGCCTGGTAAACTACCTGATGCTGTACAGATTACTTATAGTCTCTAATTACAGGGCCAGACTTCATCAAAACAAGTGAGTCAAATGGAATAGACACACAGACACTGAGAAGGAACAGCTTCCAGGCTGGATCTAGAGGGAAAAATGTAGAACGTCTGTAGCGTGGAATTAGCAGGAAGTGTTAGGAAGTGTAATGCAGAGCTATATATAACTGACCCACAAGAAACGTTTCGGCTGAATCGTGGGTGAAAGCTCTACATGATGCAGTCCACCAGTATCGAATTTTCTCTCTGTCTCTGCTGTGTAGCTGAGCACTGACACAGCACCTTTTGTTCCAGAGTTTTGGAACAGCTTTTCTCCCATCTGGCTCTCGTTGCGCAGCAGAGGCTGAGCGGTGCAGACATGGAGGAGCTGCAGAAGCAGCTTAAAACAGAGTATTTAAACCTTCCGTTTCTGTACATTTAGAAAGGGATTAGTTGACTGTGTACGCACCCAAAAATATTTAAATATTATATGTTGTTTTAGTCCTGTTAATGTTATAGAACAGTAAGCTTCCTTGTGATTAGCAAAAGCGTTTACTGAAAGTGCGAAGTATCTTCTGTGTTCTATCAGCAAGTTATCTGTAAAAAGACCTCTTAAAATATCTGAGCCCTTGAGTTGACTTCTGATCTCACTGGGAGTGACAAATTATAATAAATATATTTGATACACAATATGTAAGTGATTTTAGTTCCTCTCTGTGTAGTAAAAATCTCAGGTGAGTTAGACCTTGGACAGGACTAGTTCCTCCTGAATTTGAGAAGTGGAACAGGAGAACAGGGAAGGAGAGGTTAAAGCAGATAAAATCCTATTTCTCAAGTCTTAAAAATCTGATTCCAGCAGCAAAACGATGTATTGCTTGCCCCTGGCCAGCAGTTGGAAGGATGACAGTCAGACTGCAGCTGGTAGGGAGCCACAGGGCAAATCTGCAGCTCTGTGTGTGGCATGGTGCGATAACCTTGTTTAGGACATGCTGGTGTCTACGTTCTTTGAACATAGACTTAGGAAGAAACCAGATGTTTTTGATGTGTGACTGTTCACCTGCTAGTTAGGCTGCTTTGATAGTCTAAAAACCAAACACCATGTTTATGTTGTAATGGAGGAGACTCCGTCAAACTTCTTGTCTCCAGAAAAATCTCAGAATGTTGATTTTTGATCTTTCCTTAGAGCTGGTTAATCTGTAACATATTCTGTGGGCTTTGGCTGGTTGTGTAGTGAAGCTGAAATGCTGCTGTTGGACTTGGATTCGGGTCAGATTAAGTCAAGAAAGTTTGGTATCTTGTGTTGTAAAGAAGTTGAGGTCTTTGTGATTGTTGTCACTAAGTTGGTGTGAACCTGCTGATACGAGCAGCAGGGAAAGGCAGCTCAAGAGCGGTGGTGGTACGTCTGTGAAGAGCGCTGGGAGGTCCAGAGCACTTTTGGAGTCAATCACCCCAACGCTGGGGCTGTACCTGGGAGTCTTGCCCGTGGGATCGATGTCAGGAGTTCCTGAAAATTGCTCTATGGAAAGACCAAAGTGTAGTAAACAGTAACGCCTGTCCAGATGGTGTTTGTTTCCAGCCGTGATGGACCGTTACAGCTGGATATAGAGTGCTTTTAAACCAGTGAATGCCTTTGTGTAACGTGCGTTTGTGGCCTCCAGCAGATCAGCTGGGGTCAGGAGATGCAGAACTAGAGCCCAAGCGGAAGAAAACAGTTTCTTCAGAGGCACCAAAGACGCAGAGTACTCCAAAAGGTAAAACCAAAAAAGCCCACCCTGAACGCTCCGTACTGTTCTTGCAGGAAGACAGCCTTCTGCTCATGGGAAAATGCCTCGTTTGCCTTGTGGCCACGTCTGACTTTGTGTCATGGCCCATAGTCTGTGTTTTCATTTCAGCCTCTACAAACGCATGCCTTACATGTTTCTGCTGTTGGCTTAATAGCAGCAGCCAAATGGAAAGTTCATTTTGCCTAAAATGTAATTTACAAATATAGACTAATTAGAATCGTAGAATCATTTAGGTTGGAAAAGCCCCTTAAGATCATTGAGTCCAACCATAAACCTCACACTGCCAATTCCACCACTAAACCATGGCCCTAAGCACCACATCTACACACCTTTTAAATACCTCCAGGGATGGTGACTCAGATATATGTGTATAAAAATTATCCACTTACTGTTCTAATCCTGGTACAAGTTGTATCACCAACTTTCTCTCAATGTATAGAAATGAGCGAGCTGCTTACATGGTTTTAACATGCCTGTGTGTATATTTATATATATATTCCAAGATCCTCATCTCAAATCCTTTTCCATCAAACTACTGATAACACTTGAACTGTAGAAGTTGCTAGGAAAACACAGATCTTTGCCTGATGGCTTGTGTAGATTCTCTGCGACAGAAAATGCTTGCGTGAGGACAGAGGCTAAACCTGGCAAGAGAGTTGTGTATAAATTACTTGTAAGGCCAAAAGCCGCTGAGGTGGTTGTGGTGAGCCTCAGATCCAGAAGGTCAGTTGCCCTATTCACAGGGAAGTACTTGTCCTCCTCTGTTTATTGAAATAGGGCAGGTGACCAACTCGGACTAGAAGCCTAATTTTTTGAATACTGATGAAAAAAAAGTAAGTAACTGCCTTCCAGTAAGAACAAATTGTACAGATTTGGGTAGAGGAATCGGATTTATTTTTTTAAAAAAAGCTGTGTTTTGGTAATGGGAGGTTTTAAAGCTGTGCTTTGTTAATGTTGTGTGCTGTCTCTTCAGATTTGGATTACCTGGTTCCCAAGGCTGGCTTTTTCTGTCAGATCTGCTCGCTGTTCTATGTGGATGAAACGTCTGTGAAAAATCACTGCAAGACGCTGCTTCATCAGCAGAACATGGAGGTAATGCTGAAGCTTCTCCCAAGAAATGGGCCGAAAAGAATATAATTCTAAAAATGTTTGCTTTAATGAGCGCTATAATTTCGTGGGGGCATAGGGAGCTCATGTTAATACTCGAAGGGGTTTTAGTTTTAGATGCAGGTGTGGATATTGTGAAGTTAGTCAAGCTCATTGCCTACAGAGAGCCTTCTCTACTTGGGAAGGTGTGGCAACAGCCATTGTCTTCCCCTCATTTTTAAGAATTGATTTTTAAAAACTATGCAGCGATGTGTCCAAAGACATGATTGTGTCAGATTCCATGGCTTGCCGAAGCTACAGACTGACTGAGATCCCTTGCAGATACAGAACGACCAAGAGGTCAGTTTGGCAGCCAGAAAACTTAACATTTGGGGTCCACACTCTGCACCCCTCAGGGGCACAGCGGGGGGCAGAGACAGCCCCTTCCCACGTGAGGTGTAGAAAACTCGGAAGATACTTATCGATGTAAACTTTTGTAAGGTGGGCACAATAAATGCACAGCCGTGGTGAACACTGAATTACTATTTTGTATTTTATGACCCCCGTTCCCTCTCCTGTGAACTCCCATACCTCATATTTTGCCATGTGCCACTCGGGAGCTTCACCACTTGGTGACTTGTGTGCGTGTCAGTTTGTGAGCAAACCTTTGGAGTGTTTTGGGTACAGATCACACGTTACCAGGAGCAGGCTGACTTTTGGCAAACTCATTTATGAAACCCGCACTGTTTTTAGAGCATGATATTGTAGCAGACTGAGGAATAACTGAGCAGTATCTTTTTCACTTTCACTTCCCCTTACTTCTGCAGAAGTTCATGGCCAAGCAGAAGAATGAGGATAACGACGGGGAAGAACGGAGTTCAAGGTGATCGGAGGAGAGAAGAGTTCTTTCAGTGGATTAAACTTAGGGTCCAGTCAGTTTTGTGTATTTTGTTATGATTTAATTTGTAATTTTGTTTCAGAAACGAGCATTCATGTTGTATAAATTCGAGCTCAGTATAGATGGACTAAAAAAAAAAAAGGTGGTGGGTTTGATTTGTATATCAAACCATCAGACTTGGAAGAGACTTCTTTTACAAGTGTCGACATGAAATAAATGTTCTTACTGTATAGTTAACACCAGGAGACTGTGTGTGGTGTCATTTATTGAGTGCTGTTAACACTTCGGATCACGACAGAGGCTCAGAGGGGATTCGTTCCAGAAACCTCTCTCCGGTGCCACTTTACGGAGCTCTCGGCAGGTGCTTCAGAGCTCCGTGTTGCCCCAGAGCAGTGATCCTCATGCTGACGATCTCGATGATCCTGTGCGTTTTTATGCTCCCTTTAGCCATCTTTTTCCTTGGCGAAGCAGGAAGATAAAACCAAGGCCTTTGGGGGAGGAAAGGCCATTCCAGCACTGTGTCAACGTGCCTGTCGTTACTGCGGCCAGCCGGGGACGTCACTGTCCCTTGCTGCATCTCCCTGGTGACCAAGTTTGCGTGTTTATTTTGGGTTGTTTTTTCCTTGTTTGTCCCGGTCTGTAGGTCAAAGCCTGTGGAGTGCTCAGCAGCGTGGCTGAACTCTAATCTGCTCTTGAAAGTTGCTCCCAGCTCGGTCTGCGTCTCTGGCTGGCACGCTCTTCATGGCAGGTCGCGGTCTGGATGGTGACTGGTCTCACTATTTTTCAGCTAACCACCTTGCGTTTATGTAAAAGACTGGTTTTGAAAATCCACCATTGTCTCTGCATTCCTTCAGACTTTGGGTAGTTGACTTGGGCTGAATTATATTCTTGGAGGAGGGGTAAGGAAAGTGTTTCCTGCATGTCCAAGGGAAAAAAATGCTCTGGTTCTGCCTGGTGGGGATATTACAAGTCATACCTGTGCTATAGCTGGTACAAAAATCCCTGTGTCTTCAGACCGCTGATGAGCAAAGCACCAAAATAAACTCAGCTTACGATTTAGCAAAGGAAGCACCTGAGTGATGCTGATGTGGAACATGTTCCTTGACGGGAGATGATCCCATGAAGTCCCTCAGACTTGCAGAACCTTGCTTCATAAACTGGAAATTATTTTTCTGGGTTTTTTTTCTCTCCTTTGTTTTTGCTTCAGTCCCTCAGCAGAGAAGGCTGCAGGGGGGACCTCTCTGCCCACGTGTGCGGGTGTGTCCCTGTGCTGGTGTGGCCAGCCCTGCGCACGGAGAAGGTCTCAAATGCGCAAGAGGGATCTGGACGGGCAAATACTTGGCAAGTCAGGGAGGATGATTCAGAGTTAGAACGTGTGTGTGGGAGTGCACAGGCATGTCCATCTCCCTCCTCTCCTCTCTCCACTGACTGCTAGCTGGACCTGTCTCCTGCGCCAGCGTAGCCAGCAGTACGGATGAGATCAGTGGGATTTTGTTTAACTGCTTAAGTACTCCCAGTTATCTGGATGTCGCTGTTGGGTTAGTAGCAATTCATACAGAAGAGAATTTAAAAATCCTGTGGGAAATAACGGGGTACAAACTGGAATTTTGTGCAAAGAGACTGTGGAGAGGTGCAGAAAGCACCTGCGGAGCTGGGAGAGTCCGGAGGCTCCGCAGGGGGCTGCCGGCAGCACCCCTGGCTCTGTGGCCCGGCTTGGGAGCTTTGTGGCACGTTCTCCCTGGGCTCCACAGCGCGTGGGACGGGCTGTTCGCCCCCCTCAGTCCCGTCTCCTTTTCAATGTGGCTTTCTGTGTTGGCGCTTCTGGATTTTCTCTGCCGTCAGGAGGGTGATTCCTTCCCCTGGTTTCTATTTCTTGCTTTCTCTGTGCAGAGGATGGGAAAACAACGTTGTTCTTCATTCCGGCTG